GTGATCAGTAATCAACTTGAAAGGTGTAGACGAAAGCACATAAACACGAAATTTCTTCAGGGCAAAGATGACTGCAAGCGCCTCACGCTCACAAGCAGAGTACTTGCGCTCAGATGTGTTTGTAGCATAAACACCCCAACGTCGAGGGGGTGTATGCACAGTCTTGCCAGACCCTGATCGGAGAAGGGAAGCAACCCCAGCTAACGGAACCGGGCGAGCCCGGGTAGCAGTGGTAGAGCGGGTACGGTCGGGGACGTGCGCACGCGCAGGCCGATCTTCGCCTCGACGCCCCGGCGCAGCGCTGGGTGACGTACCGGCGCTGACGGGCGGAGGCGGATCTAGGCTCGCTCGCGTGCTCGCGCGTCCCCTGCCCGCTCGGCTCCTAACTAGATACGGGCTAGTGGGAACCCGTTCTAGAATAAGCAGGGCGAGCTTGACCAGAGGCGTGAGTTCTGGACAAGCTCGTGCTTGTCCTCCCCCACCGCCGTCGATCGCTCGCGTATTTAATGTAAAAGATAATCCTATCAGACTGCAGTACAGTACGTACTGGACTGTAGTGCTACTGTAGTCGGCTACGGTAGTGAGTGCGGGTCGCACGTACTGCAGGGCTGTCAGCATTCGGTGCTGGCAGAACGCCCGCGCGTGCGCGTCGTACTGTAGAGCTCGGGCTCTACAGTAGCTGATCTAATCTAAATCTCATCCCAGGGGGTTATACTATAGTGTTCATAGTACAACTTGCGTACTGGATGGGATGTATCTTCCCGTCATTCTTCTTTTGAGCCAACACAGATCCGACGGAGACCGAAGACGCAGCCGTTTCAATTAGGAAGGGTTTCTCGAAGTCTGGATAAGCCAAGACTGGTCGGGAAGTCAACTTTATGCGTAGTTCGTCAAAAACTTCTTGCATTTCCCCCGTCCATTTTAATTTGCCAATTCCGGATGTAGCTTCATGGAGTACCGCAGCAATGTCCGCAAACTTGCAGATGAAACGGCGGTAGTAGCTTGCTAACCCAAGGAAACTCCTGCGTTCTGTCGTAGTGGTTGGGATCGGGGCATTCCGAATTACTTTGACTTTTCCCGGGTCAACAACAATCCCGCCCTTGTCAACAACATGACCGAGCAGCTTGATCTTTGCTTGAGCGAAGCTACACTTTGTCAGTTTAAGCTTAAAGCCAGCCTCATCAATCACATCAAATACTTGCTGCAGGTGCCGAAGATGATCTTCTAGATTCTTGGAGAACACCACAACGTCATCAAGGTACACACGCACAAATAGAACTCCGCGAAAGATTGTATCCATCCTTCTCTGAAATGTCGAAGGCGCATTCATCAATCCAAAGGGCATGACTTCGAACTTATACGTCCCGTAGCGGCAGACGAAAGTAGTCATTTCTTTGCACTGTTGTGCCATCCGAATCTGCCAGTAACCGCTGAACAAATCTAGAGAAGTGAAGCACGCACTTCCTACCAATTCGTCAAATATCTCCTCGATTTTCGGCGAAGGCCATCAGTCTGCCTTCATCCTCTGGTTCAGTGTACGGTAATCAACACAGCAGCGTGGATTACCATCTTTTTTGGATACGATGACCACCAGGAAGGACCATGAGGAGCTGGGAGGGGTGATGATTCCTGCTTCCAGCATTTTGTCAAGCTCTTTCCGCACAATTTCGTTATGCAAAGGAGCCATTCTCCTCGCAGAGCGGTAGATTGGATTCATATCATCTAACTCGAAATGATGCTTGATTGGGACTTCAGCAGGCTGAAGGTCGTCGAGAGATGTGCCAACAATACTCTTATCCGTCAATGCGGTCTCAACGATGCTTTGGGCTCTACTGTCGAGATGAGCAAGTCTCTCCCGAAGAATTCTCACTGTCTCGTTGATGGCATCGGAATCAGGTGACTCTATTTCATCCTTTCTTTCATCGCTCCGTCCACAGTCGCGTCTTGCTCGAAAGGGTCATCGCCAAGGATGGCGACCACATAGGTCTCTTCTTCCGAGGAACTTTCTGAGGCGAGCGACTCGACGTCAGAAGTGAAGTCTTCACTACCGGTCTCCGGAACTGCCACGATAGGGCTTACTTGGTCAAACTCCAAACCTAATTTCACGGTTTTGTTTCTAATCACCATTTTAACAGACTGGTGACCTAGATCGATGCAGGCTTGAAGTTCTTCGAGAGTTGGATACCCGATTAAGATGCCCACCGGGGATCCTTCCACACCTAAGAAGCTTAGTGAGGTAACGATACCGTTGAACGAAACGGGAACGTCCTCGATGGAACCCAAGCAGGTTGTCTTTTACCCATTGGCGACCGCAATCTCCGTCGAGGTCGGCTTTGGAGACAGAGAGAGCTTAGATACCACAGAAGCATTCATAACATTAGGGATTGCTCCTGAGTCTAACGAAGCTCTAATTTGCGTTCCGTAGACTTGTACCGAAACTACTTTCAGACGTTTCGGCAAAGTACCGATCGAAGCGGCTACAGGGCGTCTAGGGCGACTGTTGAACAAACGACGGATCTCTTTCTTGGCCTCGTCGCCATCTCCTCGAACCAGTTGACCAAATGTCAAACCAGAGGGAGCATTCGAGAGGGAAGAGACCACATCGTACTTTCCCGAGTGCTCTTGTACGGCGTTCTTCTTACTCGTCCTCTTTTTTCTTGTCCGACGGCCCGGCCAAGGAGGTTTCCTCATATGGTTTGGGGTCCAGTACTTACGCGGGTTGAGAAGGGACGGAATTGACTCGCTGCCACCATCTTTTCGCATCTTAGCCACCGGTTCTCCATCGGCATTTCTCTTGACGGATGCCACTAGCTCCTCTTCGGCAGGGAGTTCGTCGTGCGTCACGACACTCACCTGGTTACCTGCAGAGCCCCCTAGGGTCTTCGACAAGGCAGAATCGGCTTGGGTCCTCTTAGGAAAGTAGGCGCTGCTACTTCCGCTCTGTGGACCAATTCTAGCCCAACAGCTTGTTTCCGAATGACCAAATTTTCCGCAACGAGGGTATTTCGTGTCCCCATGCGGATTCGCATCGCATCTATTAGCGCCATGACCCGAGCGCTTGCAATATGAATAGTTACGATCGTGGACGGGCCGGGAGACTGTTGTCTCATCCCTCGACTGGTTCTTCTCGATAATGAGAGAAAGGTCGGCCAGCTGATTTGTTAAAGCGTCAACCTTCGTCTCGAGTGGAGACGAAGGAACGTTTGACCGCATCATGACCTTTTTTGATCCAACTTGACCTCTCAGATTGTACATATCTTGCGAGCTCTCCAACGCATTGTAGCGTTAATTACTCAGGGAGTTCGTCGCGGCTTGAGAGGCGCAACAACCAGACCAGAAGTCCAGGATTGCATCAAATAGGTCTTTGTAAGTCTTCGCACCCGATAGATGGAAAATTGGGCCAACTAGAGATGTTCTATCACGGCGTTGCGAAGTAATCCGAACTTCGCTTCGTCGTTGAATCCCGTCTTCTTGTACAGGCGGTCTGCGTTTCGAAGGGACCCATTGAGGTCCCTGAAGGAAAGGCGAGCAGCCATCACATCCCGAATCACATCTTCAGGTGATTCCACCGAGGCGAACCGCTCGACCAAGGCCTTCTTGACCTTCTTGTAGTCGGCGCCATTTTAGCTGATGTCTCCATCCTTAACAAATGTCTGATATATGAAGTCGAATGCATCTCCCTCCAGGTAGCGAAGGAGTTCAGATGCCCTTTCTTCGTCCGATTTGCCAGAGGTGGCAACATTCTCGATCACGAAGAAGAACTTGTGGACGTCGGCTGGCTTCGACCCGTCGAACTCGGACAGGGAGCCGTCTTCTTTGCCACGCCTCCACAAGAGTACTATGTTGGATGCTTAGGGGAAGGAGAGATGGGAAAGTAGGTGTAAGGTGAGAGTTTGGGGAGGAGGATTGGAAATTGTGTATGGTGAGGGTTCGTAGTGTAGTGTCCCCTTTTATTCACCTCTGCGCTCGCGCTCATATACTACCGGCAGCACGGCTTCCACTCCGAGGTACAACTATCCTTCGTGCAGAGATTTTCTACGTGTACACGTGGTGGACATTCCGGCCAATGGGCGGCTACTGAAAGATACTACTTGGGGTCCGTCCCGGGGTTTGTCCTCGGATTTGCCCTAGGACCTCTTCTAGATTTCTCCCAGAACAGTACCAAGTTCCTGTGATAATTCCCTCCGGACATGTGTCTTTAAAATTAACAATTGTCTTTTTTAACCCATCAGGAAGGGAGCAGGGGGGGTCGCGATATAGTGCCATCTTTGTTATTGCCAGCTCCGATATAGTGCTACCCTTCTGCGGGTGGCACGAATTTTGAGCCAAAAACGAGGGGTCTCCAGAGAGGCAGTTGGATGGACGTACCGCCCCAAACGAGAGCCGCTGCCGCCGCGGCAAGATATTATGCAGTTGCTAACTCGAATAGAGACTATGGCGGAAAAAGGCAGGGTTGATGATGCAATTGGACATCTGCAAAAGCGTAGGGTGGCATTTATGGCTGCGAAAAAGGAGGAAGTCAATGCGACGGCTCGGCAGTTACTAATAACATAAATGGTTGATTAGACTTGAGTCTGTAGTGAAGATGCGAAGTACATTATGAGGGATGGCGTCCTGCCAGCAGTCTTTCTGAGCAGTGATGCAAGGAAGTGGCTGCAAAAAGCCGTAACTCTCATTAACTTTCAGTGCCTGGTTCGATACAGTATAGTGCTACCCTATGTCAGTGGCACTGACATAGGGTAGCACTATATCGCGACCCCCCCTGTACTGCATGGACTATCTGGGGATGGTGTACAGTTGGATACTGTAATGTTGTGCGTATATTAGGAAAAGGTTGAAATACGTTTGAGGGATTGGGGCTATGTTTGTGGAATTAATTGAGTGTCAGACGGGGCCAGCGAATGATGTCGGCATAGCCAAAAAAAAAGCACTGTTTCCACTTCCGGCAGGGCGTGAAAAATGACACGCGTCACCCGAATTCATTTTTTTTAAAAAAAGACATGCAGCACAGCAACGTTCCAAAAAACAACTCGAAAACACCCCCCGGCAGCACGCCCCCAACCAGCGCTTTGGGCCACACCTCTGCGACACCCCCGCCTTACATTCGTCATTCCTTCTGCACCGTTCCTTGCCTATCTTTCCCACCGCCTTCGTCCGCCCCTCTCGTCGCCGCAGCCCCACTTCATCGACGACCGAACCGCCGCACCTTCTCTTCCACCCCGGAAAATGTCGACTTTCACTGAGCTTCAACCCGCGCCCTCTACGGAGGTGCCTGCCGCGCCGGCAGAGTCATCCTCTACAGTCCCCTCCATTTCGACCTTGTCCCGCGTCGCCGGCATGGTCCCCTCGCTCGAGACGCTCAAGGAGCGCATGGGCGATGTCTGGTCTCGGTCCCGCCCATGGGGCGAGTTTCTCAACACCTCGCAGATGGGCAAGCCGGAGTTTGCAGACCTCTTCGATCGCATCAAGGAGAATGCCGAGTACTACGCCTTCAACTACCTCGTCATCCTGCTGCTCATGTCCGCCCTCACCGTCCTCACATCCCCGCTCGCTTTCCTCGGCGGTCTTTTCATCGTCATGGCCTACTTCTATCTTTACTTTCTGAACCCCGAACCGCTCGTCGTCGCCGGAATTTCCGTCGATAACAACGTCAAGGCAGCCGCTATCATGCTCTTCTCTCTCGTCGTCCTTTGGCTCACGGGCGCGGGCGCCACTTTCACTGTTCTAGTTCTCGTTGTAGGGATCGTCGCGCTTACCCACGCGGCCGTCCGCAGGCCACCGGGCGAGGCCGATTTCGAGACTGCCTACACCCCTGCCACCGTCTAATTTGTCCTAAACTTCTGTTTTGCGGGCATCTTGCTTGTTGCAGCCGTGCCCAGTTGATTGTTCGAGTTTTAATATGTAAAGCTACCATCTTTCGCTTGTTGATCCTCCAATTCGTGCTGCTGCATGCAGTGACATGCATACCCCCGGCTCGATAGTCTGGGAGGCTGCAATCGGAGTGAGAGCTGTTGCTCATCTAGATTAGAGCGAAACTCACACTGACACTTAGACTACGCGTAAAAACTTTCAAGATCTATTCTTCCGTGCTCAACGCGTGCGATTCTGGGTCCTTGCAGACCAAGACTACTTTCTCCGACGGCACATCGACAAGAGTGTCAGCGGCGGAAGTTTCCTGGCGTTATGCGTGACGTCGCCGGTGCGACTAGGAGGTCTCTGCGCCTCGCCCCGCTACTAAAAGCCGATCCTGACGGTGATCGGCTATAGATCGACCCTTCTCGAGCGGCGAAAGCGAAACCGTGCGAGTTTGTGGGGATGGCGGATAGCGGTCAGCGTTCTAAGGGAAACAAAGCTTTCTGTAACGGTTAATGGGATTGTCAGTTCGGCCACTTGTGTGGTCGTGGAAATAGTCAAAGTTAGGCAAGAAAGTTATGGAAAACAGAAAGCAAGCGTCACCGTCAAGACTTCAATAATACTCAAATCGGCTTGTGATCGTAGCGGTTGGGCAAAGCGCATCAACCGCGCTACCACAAAACGCCATATCGAAATAAAATCGTTCCCAGCGAGTCGACTCTGGTCGGCTGCCGACGATGCTCGGCCTTCGACGAGGCCGGTCATAAATTCTGTCTGATTACGGTTGCTTCCCTATGGTAATCTCTAGACAATCGGACACATTACTCCTCTCAAACCTTTTGGGCGCTTTTCTGTGCAACCTAGAATGCCGGCCCATTCATCTCAGTATTCTGTTCCTCGTCTGACTTCAATGTCTTGCTGTTGCTCGTATCTTCTGGTGGCACTCCCTCTTTCTCTCGTGTATTACCAACAGTCTCCATCGCTTCCAGCTCTTTAGCATTCCCAAAGCTCGCACTTCCTCCATTCCCCATCTTAACAGCCGTCGCACCCACCTCTTCAACCGCCGAACTAGAGCCGCTTGTCTTTGCGATGGGGGCCTTCTCAGGTTCCTTTTGTGTTGCTTCATCCGAAACTTTTCCTTGCTTAAGATCTATTTCATCCTTGCCTGGTGTTTCAGTCAGGTGATCTTCTTTCTTCTTCATCCCGTTCCCTTGCTCATTGACAATGTTCTCTTCAGGACCGGCAGCCTTGTCGGCAGCAGCAACTTCAGGGGGGCCACCGTCGGCTTCCTTCTGTGGAGATGAGTCCTTCTTTGCCGGGGTGATTACATCCTCATCGGCCGGCTGCTGACTTCCAGCAATAGGTTGCACAGGGACGTCAACAGTGGTGTTCGGCGCCCCACTATCAGCCTTGGGCCCCATCTCTACATCTCTTGACCCTCGTCTCTCCTCCCCCCGATCGGGTGGAAGACTTCGTTCCCGATTGCGCTGTCGCCCCCCGTACCGCTCATCGTTATGCTTGCGACCCCGATCGCCGTAACGATCTCTATCCTCGCGGTCCGGCTCACCCTCCCTGCGATACTTAGACCTATCTCCGCGATCTCTGTATCCGTCGCCCTCATCCCGGTAGCGCCCGTACCGCTCGTAGCGATCATCCCTGTCGTAGCGATCATCCCTGTCGTAGCGATCATCCCTGTCGTAGCGATCATCCCTGTCGTAGCGATCGTCCTTTTCGTATCGATCGTCCTTGTCCCTGTCGTAGCGATCGTAACGATCATAGCGATGATAGCGGTCGTGCCGAGAGCGCCTCCTCTCGTAGCGATCGTCGTCATAGCGATCGCGGTCGTCCCGGTAGCGGCCCCTATCGCGGTCATTCCGGGTGCGATCCCCGTCGCGGTCTCTTTCCCTGTCCCTGTCCCAATCGCCGTCATCCGAGTCCCTTTCATAGCGTCTCAACGTGTCGCGGTCCCGGACGCGATCTCTATACCTATCACGGCTGCGGTCGCGGCTTCTGCTCCGATCACGACTGCGGTCCCTTTCACCATCGAGCCTCCTGCGTTTGCGGTCGCGTCCATCATCCCTCTCATATCTGGAGCTTGCTACGACGACGCTTTCGCCGATCCTGTCGACGACGAGGTGGCCATCGGCCTCCATCTCCTTGCACAGCTCGGAGAAGGAGCGAAAGTTAGTCTTCCAAACGGCCCAGTCGCGGTTGTTCCGGGCCATGCAGTCGCTAACGACGGAAATGTTAAACGGGGTGGGGCGCTCGGCCAGGACCTGCTTGAGTGAGTGCAGGAATAGATGCAGCACGAGTTCATTGGGCATGCGGCGTGACGGGGAGACGTTGCGGCCACGGTCGCGGTCGCGGCGGCGGCGGTCCTCGCGCAGGCGGGGGGGGCGGCGGCGGCGCTTGCGGCGCGGGGGCGAGCGCGAGTAGGACGGCGAGCGGCGGCGCGGCGACCGCGACCGCGACCGCGAGTTTGAGAGGTGGCGCGGCGAGCGACGGCGGTACGGGGAGCGCGAGCGCGAGCGCGAAGGCGAGCGCGAAGGTGAACGCGACCGAGACCGCGACCGTGACGGAGAACGCGAACGCGAACGTGAGGGCGAACGAGAGCCTAGACGACGCGGGGAGGAGGAACGAGGAGCCGGGCCAGACGCCGGGGTCGGGGCCGGGAGGGCGTCGAGATCGACGTACGTGGAGGACATGGTTGTGGAATCGGGGGAGGGACGGGACGAGGGACGGGGAGAGGGGAATGCGGAGGGCGTGTGGGTCGACTACGAGTGTGGTCATCGGAACAAGAGCGACACACCGACTGGCGACGCTAATGGGTAGACACGTGTACGCACGGTATATGTTTAAACACGTGGACGATTTGTATGTGGTGTACACGTGTAGATAGTAGTGCGAAATCTCGCGTTGGGGAGAATTTACAGATGGTTTCTCTGTAATGGAGCGTGCGGAAGCTCCAGAAGAGGGGAAATATCTGGGCCGTATCATGATTCGGGCCGAATGAGGCCGTGGCAATGCGACAAGCAGAGTGCATCGTGCAATCTGATTGGGCGATAGACGGCCCAGATCCAATGCATGGGCGGTGACTATATCTCCCTTCCTACCGCGCTCCACTCGAATTGCATACCGCCCCTGGCAACGTTTGAAGACATATAAGCCAACAAACAGTGTCGCAACCAAACCACCTCCGATGGCCCTTCTTCCCCTCTCACCCCACCCTCACGCCCCATAGCTCCCACAGCAGCCACAGCAGCCACCATGTCCGCCTTCGCCCTCCCCTCGGCCCTCCCGTCCGCCGTCTCCCTTTCTCGCACCCGTCACACCCTTTGCCCCCGGCGCGCTTCCCCGCGCACCCCTGTGCGGCGCCGCCCGCCATGCGCACAGCAGCCATCGCAGTCCCCCGACTACGGCGCAGGCTTCATGCCTGAGTCCGACCCAGACTACGAGGAAGTCCGCGTCCTCTCCTTCGGCCCGACGCGCAACGACGGCTCCCTCCTCACCCTGCGCCCAGTCTCGGGCGGTGACCGTGCCTTCAAGATGTCCGTCACCGTCGCCCAGGCCGACTCCATCCGCGCTGCCCTCGCGCGTACCAGAAGGAACAGGCACATCCCACACCCCTCCTCCACCCCCTTCTCCGAGCCCTCCGCTCACCTCCCCACCGGCCGTCTGGACTACACCCTGATGCGCCCGGCCACGCACGACCTCTTCAAGGACGTCCTCGACCTGTTCGGCGGCTTCGTAACCAAGGCCGCCATCACCCACATCCAGGACGAGGTCTTCATCGCCCGCGTCTGGGTGCGCGGCCCGTTCGCCGTCACGCAGGACGAAGTCCACATCGACTCGCGTCCGAGCGACGCTATCGCCATGGCTCTGCGCAGCCGCGCACCGCTCTACCTTAACAAGCACCTGCTTCGCCAGTGGAACGTGTCCGTCGAGGCCATCGCGCGCGACGCCAAGCACGGTCTGTGCGAGTGCGTCACCGACTACCCCGACGAAGTCAAGAGTACGCGCTCCATCGTGCACGAGCTCAAGGGCTCGCCGGAGCATCTCATCCTGGCCAAGCTGCGCATGGAGCTCGACCTTGCCGTCCGCTTGGAGCGGTTCCAGGAAGCCAGCCGTCTGCGCGAGCAGATCGCGTCCATTTGCCCCATCGATAGGCTCAGCGATCAACTCAAATGCGCGATAGATGAGGAAAGATACCTCGACGCCGCCAAGCTGCAAGACCAGATCACGCTGTGGCGCGCAAGGGTCCGCATGTGGGAGAAGGGCTCGATCAACATAGAGGACTTGCAGGGCGGGATTGAGGACTGCGGCAATTGTTGAGTCACACGGCGCGGCACATGCCCGCTTTTGTGATGAAGAAGGGGGTTTTGGCGCTTTTTGTAGTGCTGTGCGCTACGTTGTGAATTTGTCGAAGGGCAGCTTGCTGCAGGTTATGGGGCGGCTGCGCTGCGCCTTTTTTATTCTCCGGGCCTGTCTTCCAGTCGCTTGCCGAGGACGTGGCCGCATGCCTTTGATGCGTTTCCTTACTGCCGTGTTGTGTTGGTCGTTCGACGTGGTCGCGACATGCTGTTGCGTGTAATTTTTGTAGAGTATAGAGATGGCAGTTGTAAACACGGCAGTACTTGGATGGATACATTTTCTCATACAAGATGCATACACAGACGCCAGAAAACCGCAATGCGGATGCTTGCACGGCACCCATCATCACATGCCGCTATTCGATCTCCTAGCCAACGTCTCAGTGACGACATTCATAGCGTCAATAAAGCGATGCAAACATCTGTGTCCCAGCGGATGAAACGCGAGGGCAGGTCAGTACGCATGGTGGGATTCGCACCGCCGCAGTCAATTGGATGATTCGGGACATACCGATCGACGCAGTCCTTCTCCCGCTGGGACATCTGCTTCTTCCCCACGTCCGCGCACAGGACAAAACACTTGTCCGTGACCTGCTCGCGAAAGACTTCGCTCATCTGCGCGTTGACCTGCGCCTCGATGCGTGCCATCATGTCGTGCGTGCTCATGTCACCGCTCATGGTGCAAGGGTAGCAAGCCGTCCAGAGGCGCGATCCCGAGGTACAAGGTGTTGCGGACGGGGCGGATCAAGAAGTTAAAATTGGGCGCGGAGGACGCAGTGCGCCGGCCTGCCCTGCTGATCACCGAAACACGGCCAAGTCATACATACCTACGGATGCAGCCGTACGGAGCGGGCATCCTTGTTTTTCTCAAAAAACACCTTTGTCGTTCATGCGTACTGTATTGCACCTTGCTTGCTTCGCTGCCACCCCCTGCCCTCTCCTCATCCTCTCACGCCGACAGTCTGTGCCGAGGCGCGCCACACTCGACATATCCACTCTCGTCCCTATCCCGCTCGCGAATCAATCTCCCGCGAACCGCGCGACATCTCCAAGTCCGCACCGGAACGGCTTCCCCCCCAAAGTGCGATGTCGCGCCCCTCGCTGCAAGCGCTGGGCGACGCGTCGTTCGCGCGCAGCGAGCACGTGTCGGCGGAGCTGCTGGCGCTTACCTACGGGTCGTTTGTGCGGCAGCTAGTGCAGGACTACGAGTCGCCAAGCGACGTGAACGCGCAGCTGGAGTCGATCGGGTACAACATGGGCGTGCGGCTGGTGGACGATTTCCTGGCAAAGTCCAACATCTCGCACTGCTCCAGCCTCGCCAAGACGGCGGAGGTGATCGCAAAGGTCGCGTTCAAGATGTTCCTCGGCGTTAGTGCCACCGTCGGCGTGTGGTCGCAGGATAAGAAGACGTTCGGTATCGTCTTCGATGATAACCCGCTCGCGGAGTTTGCCGAGCTGCCCGAGGAATGCGCGGGGTTGTGGTACTCGAATGTGCTGTGTGGCGTGATTCGCGGAGCGTTGGAGATGGTGAACATGAAGGTCGAGTGTAGGTTTGAGAGGTGTCGGCTGAGAGGTGATGAGTGCAATGAGATTAGGGTTAGCTTGCATGAGATCTTGGTTGAACAGGTAAGGCGTGCGCGCGAGTGTTTGAAGAAGGTGCTAATCGCGTTGCTTATCAGCGAGGGCCTAACGTCCGTTGCTTGCTTTGAATGCTTTTTGTTGCGCCTTTTGCGATTTGCGTCTGATAGCCGCCCAAAGGAGAAGACTAGACGGACCTGGCAAGGAAGAGGACAGTTTGCAAGCGAGCTCTCGAGCGTCAGAAATGTATCAAACCAACTCCGTAGCACGCTCAACTTTGAATTCAAGTCATCGAAAGTGAATCCAATTTGAGTGTTACGTTCTCGCGTTTGATCCCTCCACTGTCGTACAGTATGTCTTCGTCCAACCAAATGACCGCCGGAATGACTCGAACCAATCAAAATCTCTTAAGAATCCACACACTGTACACGTGGCATCTCCATTCCCGTTAACCAACTCCGTCCGGGAGCTCCAGCACTCCTCCCGCATTGCCATTCACTCTCAACCCTCCACGCCGCCGACCCCCGCCGCCGCCCCCCCGCCGTCCACCCCCACC